CAGNTTTTGACGCAAGCTCTTCGGCTGTGCTTCGAGAACTCGACGAGAGCAATCGATTCGTCCAAAAATCAGCCGAATCGACTTCGATTTGACCGAGCTAGAGAATTCTGAAGTCTGGTCAGGACCACCCAAACCAGTGGTTGAATTCCACACAGGGCCGCGCGGCCGTCGCCGGCCGCCGCGAGGCGCTCGAAGGCCGGCAGCGCCCTGCGGTGGTCGCCTGCGCGGGCGTTCGAGGAAATGATGCCGACGTCGACGGGGCCCGCGCTCGGGCGGGCGCGCCGCGTCGAGACCGCGCGCGCGCGCGTCGGACGTCGGGACGCGGCCGGCCGCCGGCCCGGAGGTGCGCCTGTGCCGGAAACCACCAGTGGAATGGACCGGTCCAGCAAAACTTCAAACCGCTCTCTCTCGGTCGAATCGACGTCGTTTCGGCTGAACGTCGAAACCGTGCGAATACACGTATGTTGAAGTCGCGTTGAATATGTGTGTCCGGCCCGGAGGCGCGCGTGCGCGGCCGTGAATTCGCCCGTCGACGCCGCGCGGCCGCGCGTCGGCGACGGCGAGATCGGCGGCGGCGGCGGCGCCTCCGCGTCCGTCGCCGGCGCCTCCGCGTCCGTCGCCGGCGCGGCGCGCGCGCGGCGCTTCCCGCCCTTCTTCCGCCGCTTCCGTTTCGTCCGCGCCGACGCCGGCGACCGGGGCGGCCGGACCAGGGCACCGGCCTCGTCGTCGTCGTCCGCCTCGTCCGCCTGACTCCAGGTGCAGCCGTCGAGGAACCTGCGCGGCGCGGCGCGCGCATTGGTACGCGAAGGCGGCGGGCGCTTCGGCGACGCTGGGTTCTCTCACACGCAACTCAGCATGGCACACGAGCGCAGCCCCAGAATTTCCCGATCGACTTCTTGAAGTGCCGACGGACTCATTGCATTCAACTTACCCTCGATTTGCCGCAGGTCGCCGTAATCGAGGCGCAAGCGTTTGCTCGCACGCCCGGACTAGGCCGTCGCGGTAGCCGCGTCGCAGCGCGACCGCAGGGGCGTCGCTCGTCGTCGTCCATGGCGAGCGTGTTGGCGCGGCTGGGCCCGCAGGCGTCCGTCGGGTGCGGCTTCGCCGTCGGCGTCGGCGCCGCGTCGGCGCTCGTGCACGCGCTCGGCGCGCACGGGACCGACGTCCACACGGCGGGCCAGTTCGCCGTCGCGATCCTCGGCGTCGTCACCGTGGGCGCCTGGATCGGCGCGGAGTGGGGCCTCCTCGCGGGCGCCGGCGGCGCGCCCGCCGCCGGCGCCGCGTACGAGCTCGTCGCCAAGGGCCCCGACGACGTCGAGCGCGCCGCCGCCGCGGCGCCGCCGGGCTCGCCGACGCGGGGGCTCTCGCCGCCGCCGCGGGCGGGCGTGGCGCGCTGGCTCGACCGCGACGTCGCGACGTCGCTGCGCCACGGCTCCGAGTTCGCGCTGTGGATCGCGTTCATGTACCTCTGCGACCGCACGGACCTCGTGCCGCGCGGCGCGAAGCACACGGACCCGCGGAGCTTCTGGCTCCTCTGGCTCGCCATCTGCGTCGCCGCCGCGTGCTCGCTCCGGAGCTGCCGGTCGCCCAAGGTGCTCGCGCGCGAGCAGACCGAGGAGTGGAAGGGCTGGATGCAGCTCATGTTCCTCCTCTACCACTACTTCGCGCAGGGCCAGCTCTACAACGCGATCCGCATCTACATCGCGGGCTACGTCTGGATGACGGGCTACGGCAACTTCCTCTACTACCGCAAGAGCGGCGACTTCAGCGCCGTGCGCATGTGCCAGACGCTCTTCCGCCTCAACTTCTTCGTCGTCGTCGTCTGCGTCGCGCTCCGCAACGAGTACATGCTCTACTACATCGCGCCGATGCACACGCTCTTCACGCTCTTCGTCTGGCTCGCGCTCCGCGTCGCCAAGGACCGCAACGGCGACGACGCGGTCGCCGCCGGCAAGATCGTCGCGACGCTCGCGGCCACGGCGCTCCTCTACGACGTCGAGCCCGTCTTCAAGGCCGCCTTCGGCTGGCGGCCGCTCCGCGACCTCGTCGCCTTCCACGACCCGCTCCACCCGGAGTTCAGCGACGAGCTCCACGAGTGGCACTTCCGCAGCGGCCTCGACCGCTACATCTGGATCTTCGGCATGGCCTGCGCGCTGGGCCTGCCCTACCTCGAGCGGCGCCTCGGCGCGCTCGCGGCGCTCGACGACGGCGCGCGGCGCGTCGCGGCGCACGGCGCCGCCGCGTGCGTCGCGCTCGCGCCGGCCGTCGCCTGGGTCGCGCTCGTCTTCCTCAAGGACAAGTACGCCTACAACGCGCTCCACCCCTACACGTCCTGGGTCCCCGTCGCGTGCTACATCGTCCTGCGGAATTTGACGCCGGGCCTCCGGTCCAAGTACCTCCACCTCTTCACGTTCCTCGGCAAGGTCACGCTCGAGACCTACATCCTCCAGTTCCACATCTGGATGAAGACGACGGGGCTCAACGGGAGCCCCAAGTTCCTCCTCGTCGTCGTCGAGGGCCACTTCTGGCTCAACTTCGCCGTCGTCTCCGCGGTCTACTTCTTCGTCTCCGTGCGCGTCTTCAGGCTCACGGTCGCGCTCCGGGACGCGCTCATCCCCGACGACGGCGACGACCTCCCCAAGGCGCTCCTCGCGCTCGGCGCCGCCGCCGCCGCGGTCGCCGCCGCGGGCCACGGCCTCCGCGCGCTCCTCCCCGTCGACGCGTGAGCCCGCGCCCCGGCGGGAAATCAGCGCGCCTTACTCCGACGCGTGCATGACCGCGTCGATGGCGACGGAGAAGGCGGCGAAGCCCGCGCAGCCGATGCCCGCGGCCTGAGGCCCCTGCTTGGCCGCGAGGACGGCGCCCGTCGCGCAGCCGCTGAGCCCGCCGTTGACGACGTCGTGCTTGCCCCGGAACTTCTCGAAGAGGCAGTCGCAGCCGCTGAACAGCGCCGTGATGACGGCGAAGGACTTGCAGTACCAGAGCGCCTTGTCGCCGAGCGCGCGCCACGCGATCCGCACCTGCGCCTGGAGCGGCGCCGCGGGGATCGGCCGCCCGCCGGGCCCGACGGGCACGGCCGGGTCCGCGCCGAGGATGCCGAAGAAGAGGCCCATCATGCCGCCGACGCCCGCGCCGAGCACGACGCCCGTCGCCGCCTTGAAGGCGCAGCTCTCCTGGAAGAGCCAGAGCGGGTTCGGCGGCGGGGCGCTGGGCGACGGGGGGACGGCGAAGTAGAGGAAGGCCGGCAGCCGCGGCGCCGGCCGCGAGCCGGCCGCGTCCTCCAGGCGCTTCGTCCGGTAGAAGTCGCCGGGCGGACCGCCGCCGGCGGCGGCCATCACGCTCACGCCTACGGCTTCCTCTACAAGAAGCCCTTCAAGCGCCAGACGCGCGACCTCGCCAACGCGCCGCCGGAGCCGACGCCGGCCGACGCGCCGAGCCCTGCGACGAGAGCTGTCAACGTCACCTTACCGGCATTTTGGCTTCAATGCCCTTCGAAAATCACGATAATACACCGTGACGAGGGCCGTGACGCACAGGACGCCTCGTCGCGACTCGTCGGCCGCCGGCGTCGACGCCGCGCGCCCGCGGTCCGTCCGCCGCCTCGTCGCGCCTCGCCGGCCGCCGCCGTCGACGCCGCGCGCGCCCGCGGTCCGTCCCGCCGTCGCGCGCGTTCCACCGGGGGCGGGGCAGCCCGGGCGACGCGCGCATGGGCCTCGCGAAGCATGGCTGCCAGCTCGGCGCGGCCTACGTGGTGCTCTACTTCGGGATCCTGGGCCTGTCGCCGGCGGCCTTCGACCTGTACATGAAGCAGTTCCGCAACATGGAGGGCCCCGAGGACCTGAGCCTGGCGCCGCAGATCACGAACGCGCGCGAGGTCTTCGGCGTCCACGACTACGACGAGGTCGTGAACATCTCGAGCGGCATGGACGAGGTCATCATCTTCCGCAACTTCAGCGACTGCCGGCACAAGTTCGAGACCTCGCTGCTGCCGCGGCGCAAGGACCAGTACGACACGTACCGGCTCATCACGCCGACGAACCACACGGGCAACGTCTACGTGACGGGCTACACCAAGGGCGGCACGATCTCGAAGACCCTCGGCGAGACCATCGCCGACGAGTCGCCGACCTACTACGCGTCGTTCCTCCGGCTCTTCGACAAGCACGACTACGCGGAGCTGCTGGGCACTGTGTGCAAATCAAATCTTCAACCCGACTTCAATGTGCGCGTATTCGAATGTTTTGACACGAGCACTTCCGCCGTGCTTCGAGAACTCGCTTAGAGCAATCGATTCGTCCAAAAATCAGCCGAATCGACTTCGATTTGACCGAGCTAGAGAATTCTGAAGTTTGGCCCCGACGTCCCAGCTCACTGGTTGATTTCCACACAGGTTGGGCACGAACGACGCGGACCAGTTCAAGTTCGACTCGAGCTTCGTGTCCTACTTCCCCTACGACGCCGTCTCCTCGCCCATCCACGCGGCGCCCATCGCGCAGACCTTCAGCGTCCAGTGCTACGGCACCAAGGCCTGGCTCTTCTGGAGCAGCAAGACGCTCAACGCGCACGGCCACCGGACGGTGACGCACCCCGCGGGCGGCGTCATCACGGGCACGCCCGAGGGCATCGTCCGCATCCCGACGACGCGCGCCGTCGTCGGCCCCAACGACCTCCTCGTCTTCGGGCCGCTCCAGTACCACGCCGTCGCGTCGGCCAAGGGCAAGAACATCATGTTCGCCATCCGCAAGGTCGACAAGAACAGCTTCAAGGCGTCCATGCGCCAGAGCGCCCACGACACGGTCTTCCACCTCATCCGCTACCTCTACGACCGGCCCCAGCAGTACCTCGCGATCATCTTCGACTCCATCAAGGCCAAGTACGACGCGCAGCTCGGCGGCTCCGACGCCGGCGGCTCGAAGCTCGGCTTCTCCGACGCGGGCGGCCCGGACCGCAAGTCGTTCCAGGACAAGTACCAGCCGACGATCTCCGACGTCTACCGGTCCATGTACGTCGACCACGACGGCATCGACTACTTCCAGCTCCCCCAGGACGCCTAGGCGCGCGCCGCGGCCTAGGCGCCCCCGCCCGGCTTGCCCCGGGGCGCGAGCGCGACGACGAAGAGGGACGCGGCGCCGGCGTTGCACACGTGCCACGCGCCGTGGAAGAGCGCCGCGGACTCGCGCGCGTCGTCGAGGCCCAGCGCGAAGCACGCGCCCCCGGCGGCGGCGAGCGCCACGGCGCCGCGGTACTCGCGCGTCGCGAAGCGGCCGTCGCGCGCCGGCGGCCGCCGCCGCCGCCAGGCCGCGTAGCACGCGAAGGCGAAGGCCACGGGCGCGGCGGCGCAGAGCACGTTCCAGGGGTTGAGCTCCTGGAAGAAGAGGCCGACGAAGAGCGTCGCCCAGCGCACGAAGTCGACCTCGTCGCGCGTCGGGCCGCCCGGCGCGCCGGCGTCGCCCATGAGGAGCGGCACGAGCGCCGCGAAGCTCACGAAGGCGAAGATGTTGTCGAGCCGGTGCCAGTTGCCGCCCGTCATGCCGAGGAGCGTCGTCCCGCGGACGTCGCACCAGTGGTAGGCCGTCGACGCCACGACGAGGCCGGCGCAGGAGCACGCGTCGGCGACGCGGCCGCGCGCGGCGAGGAGCCGCAGCGGCACGAGGAAGAGGACGTTCGTGCCCGCCGACACCGCGAGCTCGGCGACCTGCGCCGGCGACCAGGGCCGCGGGCCGAAGCGCTGGCCGACGAAGACGAGGTCCTGGCGCCCGCAGGCCGGGTCGCCCAGGGCCGTCGCGCCCAGCTCCGTCTTGCAGCAGAAGCGCACGCGCGCGCCGCCGAGCGGCGCGACGCAGAGCAGCGCGACGAGCCCGCGCAGCAGGCGCATCCGGTTTGCTTGTGCTGGCGTCGAGCGATCGCCGCGCGGCGGCGCGCGCGAGCGGCGGCGCGCGTGAGCGGCGGCGCGCGAGCGCGGCGGCGCGCGAGCGCGCGAACACAGCGGCGCGGCGCGCGAGCGCGCGAACAACGCGCGACGTTTGGCGCAGGCAGGCAAGGCGGCGCGAGGTTGCTCCTTAATTAACCCCTGCAGCACAGCCGCGGCACCTTCAAAGTTGCCTTCAAAGGCCTCTTCAACAGGCCTTTCAACCATCACGTAAGTCATCACTTTACACATCTTACGCGTCGGCGCTCGCGCGCGGCGCGAGGAGGTCGCCGTCGTCGTCGTCGTCGTCGTCGTCGTCGCCGGCGCCGGCGCGCTTGCGGACGGCGACGGCGCCGTCGGCGCCGAGCGCCGCGACGAGGCCCGCGCCGCGGACGACGACGTTGCGCGCGGACGCGCGCGCGTCGAGGGGCAGGTCCGCGAGGGGCGCCGCGCCCCCGCGCTGAGGCTCGCGACGGCCGCGGCGCCGCGCGCGGGCCCCGGCGGCGGCGCGGCCGGCGACGCGACAGCGGCGGCGGCGCGCGCGGCGGCGGCGGCGAGCGCGCGGCCCGGCGGCGACGCCGGCGCCGGCGGCGGCCCGCGGGAGAAGCCGACGCCGCTCGCGGCGACCTCGGACGCCGTGCGCGCGTCGCCCGCGGCCGCGCGCATGCCCCGGACGGCCGCGCGGAGCGCCGCGCGCGCGGCGCCGCGCCGCTCCGGCGGCGCCGCGCCGCAGCCGCGCGCCGCGGCCTCGACGGCGGCGGCGGCGTCGCGGCCGCGCCGCACGCGCTTCGCCGCGAGCGCCGCGCCGTCGCGATTCTGCCGCTTCGACGTCTCCGCCGGTTGCCCGAACCAGCGCGCGTGGCACTCGGCGGGCGTCCGGCCGTCGACGCGCCGCGCGACGGCCTCCCAGAAGCGCGGCGCGCCGCAGTCCGTCGACGCGTGGGCCTCCTGGAGCGCGCCGACCTGGGCCGCCGTCCAGGCCGCCGCCGGCGCCGGCGCGGCGCGCGGCGCCGGCGGCGCGACGCCGAGCTTCGCGGCGCAGGCCGCGGACGCCGCCACGTGCGCGTCCCGCAGGGCCGCCGTCGCGAACTCCCGGGAGCAGGCGCGGCAGGACGGCGACGGCGTGACCATTTCGCAACGTCGTCTTCCAGAGGGGGAAGGTTACCTTCACGATCTCTTCACGCACGGGCGTCGTATCCGAAACGCCACCCTCGCGGCGTTGGTGCTTGCTCGGCGCCGCGCTCCGCCGCCATGGTGACGGCGTCGGGCGAGCGCATCGTCGGGAAGGCCATCTCCGCGGACAGCCCGGCGTTCTTCCACGTCGCCCACGCCGAGGTGAACCCGGAGCTCGGGCGGCGCCTCAAGCGGTCCAAGGGCCCGCCCTTCGTTCCGGGCAAGGACCGCATCGAGGCCGCGCGGCGCGCGGCGGTGAGCACGCACGCGTCGCTCCGGGACCCGCCGAGCGGCGTCGCGTCGCGGTCGCGGGACCCGACGAGCTTCGAGCACGCGCCAGGGCAGCACAAGAGAGCGAAATTCCCAACTTCAAAGGCTCATATCTCGGCCGTTTTCCACTCGTTTCGGCTGATTTTTGGACGAGCGATCATCTCTCGGAACGGTCTCGAAGCGTGGAGGTTTTTCTCGTAACGCGCGCGCGCAGAACACTCACGTTGAAGCGACGTTGAATCACTCTTGTGCTGCCCAGGCACGCGCACGGCGTCGCGCTCCGCGGCGACGGCTCCGCCTTCCGGCGCCGCGTCGGCGCGGCCGAGTCGTACGTCGAGCAGGCCGCGGAGTCGTCGGACCTGCTGGTCTGGCAGCGGACGCAGGACCGCGACGAGGACTTCTCGAGCCCCCTGCAGACGCTCCGGCCCGTGAGCCGCGTCGACTACTACGACGCGCGGCCGCCGTTCAGCAACTACGTCGGCGAGCTCGGCCGCACGGCGCGCCTCGCGACGGCGCCGGCGCTCGGCCGCCGGCACCGCGGCGGCGCGCGCGCGCGGTCCGCCATGGGCCGCGGCCGCCGCGGCCGCGGCGACGGCGCCGCGGCCGCGCCGCGGCTCGCGGCGCTCGCGCCCGCGGGCGCGCCGGCGGGCCTCCGCGCGCGCGCGGCGGCCTACGCCGCGGGCGCGGCCGCGAGCCAGGTGCGCCACGCGCGCGAGCGGCCGAAGACGAGCGAGAGCCGCCACCGCGACGGCGTCGACGGCCCGCGCCAGCTCTGGCGGCCGGGCACGCCGCCGTTCCACCGCACCTGGGTCAGCAGCCCGCGCGCGCCCCTCGTCGCGCCCGAGGCGTCGACGGCCGCCGACGACGTCGCCGCCTTCGAGCGGCGGAACCACGCCGCGCTCGAGCTCGGCGACTACAGCAAGCGCGAGCTCGTCGCGCTCATCGCCGCGCAGGGCCTCGACCCGCCGGGCCGCCTCGTCTGGGACCCCGCCTCCGCGACCATGGTCCGCGAGAGCCTGCCCAAGGAGACCTACGTCGACTTCTGCCGCCAGAAGTTCTACGAGCGCGACCCGCAGCCCCTCGTCCGCGTCGGCCGCCGGCTCCGCGCGGCGCCCGGCGGCGGCCTCGCGGTGCTCGACGCGTCCGCGGAGCTCCCGGGGGAGCGCGGCGGCGACGACGGCGCGCTCTACCGCGTCGTCTCCGTCTACCGCGCGGACAACGGCGGCGCGCGCGTCGTCTGCTACGACCCGCGGACCTGCGCCTACGGCCGGCTCCTCCTGCTCGAGGAGCGCCTCGAGGAGCTCCACGTCGGGCCCGCGCCGGCCCGCGACGCCGACTACCCCGCCTGGAGCCGCGGCCTCGTCGAGCGGCTCGAGCTCGGCGCCGAGGGCGACCTCCGCGTCGGCCGCCAGCCCCTCCAGCCCAACGGCCTCACGCTCGACTTCTCCCTCAGCGGCCACCGCGAGCCGCGGCCCGGCGCCGCGTCGGACGCGCCGCGCCGCCGCGCGCCGCCGGGCGACCGCGCGCCGCCGCGGCCCGACGCCGCCGCCGCCGCGTCGCCCGTCGTCCTCCGCCACCCGCCGTCGCGCCACATGGTCACCCAGTGGTTCGACTTCATGTAGGCGCGCGCCGCGCGCCGAGCGCCCGGGGCGCGCCGCGCCGCTAAGAGCCCGCTCAGCGCGAACCGACCGGGGCCCCGCGAGGCCCCGAGGGGACGCGGCCCGCGCCACGAGCCTGGAAGCCAGGCGGGCCCGCTGACGGTGCCTGCGACGGGGACTTCGATCGGAGGGCACCTGGGACACGTCCCGGCGACGAACACGGACAGCGGAGTCACCCAAATTTCAGTCGAGCTCCACCGCGAGTGGGGCACCACCGCCGCGAAGTACCGCGCGCGCTACCTGATCTCCGGCCTCAAGTTCGTCGACGGCACCTGGACGTCCAAGGCCCGCGCCCTCTCCCACCGACTCGAAGACGACGCGCGCCGCCTCGCGGACCGCGCCGCCCTCGCCACCCTCACGACCAACCTCCGCTGCGACGGCTAGGGGGCGGCCTCCGGCCGCCACCTGGCTCGGCTCGCCAAGGTACCCCACGAACCCCCCTGGATAAGCGCCTCCAAATTTCAGTCTTGAAAAGCAAGAGGAGCTCGCGGAGAAATTAATTGGCGCCGCCCAACCCCGGACCGACGCGACGCGCACGGACGAGAATCATATTTTGCTCATAGACCGTCTCGTGGCGTCCCGGCGTCCCAATAAGTCCCCCGAAAAAACACCCCGGTTTTACGGGCCCATTTTTCGCGAATCGTCGAAACTCGCCCACGCCCCCGAATCTCCCACAACGCCGGCGGGGGCTACGTGTTCCGCGTCTAGTGCGTGCGCGAGCTGCTAAGAGTCACGGCCTAGAGGTGGCGAGGTGCCTAGGTGTCGGAGCCGTCGCGAACGCTGAAGATGGGGTCCGGACGAGTCGTCTCTATGCAAGGTGCTGTTCAAAGTGTTCAAGTCTTGTTGATTGCTGAGGCGTACAAGCGAGATTCAGCATGCACCGACGTCGTTACGGGCGAATTCCAGTCGCCGCCGGGGGGCGAGCTGCCATAGGAGCGAACTCGAAGCGCGACGAGGCGCGTCGTCGAGTGGTCTGAGCGGCGCGAACGGAGCCCGGCTTCCTCTCGAAGTGTGGCTCGACGACCCCGCGCGCGCGCGGCGCGAGCGAAGATCGTCGCTGTCTTCGCCACACAGACCCAACGTCGCTGCGTCGGCCCGGGGGCATAAAGCGACACCCGGGCCGGCGCCAGGGTGCGTCGATTGAAATTCGCACGGCGGCCCGCCGCGCGCGACGACGCGGGTGGTCATCGATATCCCTGGCCAAAACCACGTATCTTAGCCTTCGAGCGCACCCGAAAGCGCCGAAGACAAGCTCAGGCGTCGACAGCTCCGGCGTCGGTACTGCAAGTCCTACGAGTAATCGCGCGGCAGCGTGCCGAAATACGGCGACACGCGGCCGCCGCGGCCATTGGAGGGGCGCCTCCCGACGCTCCAGCGCTCTGTCAACTCTACGCGCACGCGCGCGCGACTTTCTCAGTGCGCGAGACGATTTCCCGGCGACTGACGCGAAGAAGCCCTCGACCAGCGCGCGGTACACGATCGCATTCGGGTGTGCCGCCGAACGCGCGGCACGCCGCGCAGCTTCTGACCGAGAGGCGCTGTCCAGCCGCCTATTTGCCGACGGGACACGGACGACTCGGTCGGCGCAGACGTTCGGACGGCCCGCGAGGAGCTCCCACGACGTGAGCGACCTCGCCGAGGCCTCGAGCGTCCACACGGACCTCTACGACCGCCAGGACTAGCTCGGTCGCGTCCAGAACCCGCACGAAGGAGAGATTTTGGTGTTTCGAAGCCGAGCCCACCATAGCCCTCCCCGTAAAACGACCGCTACACGCGTCCATCGACTCCGTTCGACATAGTTTGGATCTTCGGGGACTTCCCAAGGACCCCCCTCGGCCCTCCGAACCAACCTCCCGTGGCCCCCGGGCGCGCCCGACGCGGCGAACGGCGCCGCAGCGCGGGTACTTTCATGCTGAATCTCGCTTCCTAAAGTATAGGTGCGGCTCGACGTGATGCGCGCGCCGCCGGCGCGGTGCTTTCGTTCCGCGGTCCTGCTGCTCTGCGCTCTCCGGCTCCCGGCGCTCGCGCCGCGGTCCGTCGGCGTCGCGCGCCGCGTCGCGGCGTCGGCGGCCGGCGCCGGTCCCGGCGAGGCGGGGGCCTTGGACGCGGCGTCCCTGACGGACCTGCGCTTCGGCCCGTCGCTCGCCGGGGACCCGCTCGAGCGGCTGCGCTTCGCGATGATCCTCTACTCGCGCGTCCACGGCTCGTCGTGGCTCGACGTGCCGCCGGGCTTCGTCGCGCCGGACGACTGGCCCGAGCCCGTGCGCGGCCTCGCGCTCGGCAAGGCCGTCGCCGCGCTCGTGCGCCTCGAGGCCGCCGCGCGCGGCGGCGAGACGCGCCGGAGCGCGACGTCGCCCGACAGCGGCATGGAGACGGCGCGCGACCTCGCGCCGCCGCGGCCGTCGCGGACGCGGTGGGGCCGGCTGCTCACCGAGTCGACGGGCTTCGACTGGGGCGGCGCGTTAAACCGCGACGGCGCGCGGCGCTTCGGCGCGCTCGTGCGCGCGCTCGCGGCCTACAAGGCCGAATTCGGCGACGTCGCCGTCGCGCGCGGCTTCCGCGTGCCGAACGCGGACCCGTGGCCGCCCGAGCTCGCGGGCGTCGACCTCGACCGCGCCAGGGCAGCACAAGGGTGATTCAACGTCGCTTCAACATGAGTGTTCCGCGCGCGCGCGTTCCGAAAAAAGCATCCACGCTTCGAGACCGTTCCGAGAGATGATCGCCCGTCCAAAAATCAGCCGAAACGAGTGGAAAACGGCCGAGATCGGAGCCTTTGAAGTTGGGAATGTCGCACCCTTTTGCTGCCCAGGACCGCGCGGTCTACGGCATGGGCTTCTACCGCGCGCACGTCGTGGGCTTCCCGGACCGCCAGCGCGCGCTCCGGGACCTCGGCTTCGTCTGGGAGCGGCTCCAGCCCGAGTACAACCTCGTCGTCGAGGCGCTCGCGGCGTTCCGCGACGTCTTCGGCCACCTCCTCGTGCCGAGCGCCTTCGTCGTGCCATCGGGCGACCCCGCGTGGCCCCCGGGGACCGCGGGCCTGCCTTTGGGGCGCCGCGCGCGCCAGATCCGGCGGCGGCTCGACCACGTCGCCGGCGACGAGCGCCGCTGCCGCCAGCTCGACGAGCTCGGCTTCGTCTGGGACCCGGCGCGGCACCGGGCGGGAAAAGGGTGCGAAATTCCCAACTTCTCGGCCGTTTTCCACTCGTTTCGGCTGATTTTTGGACGAGCGATCATCTCTTGGAACGCTCCCGAAGCGTGGATGCTTTCTTTGGAACGCGCGCGCGCGGAACGCTCACGTTGAAGCGACGTTGAATCACTCAGGCGCGGCACCGCCGGGACCTGCTCCACGAGGCCGCGGCGCGCCACGCCGCGCTCGCCGCGGGGGCACCGGCGCCGTTCGACGACGGGCCCACGCCGCCGCCCGCGCCGCCGGACGTCGACTGGGCGAACTTCGCCGCGCCCGCGCGCTTCGCGGCGCCGCGCGACGGCGAGGCCGGCGCGCAAAACTGGCCGCGGCGCCTCCGCGGCTTCAAGCTCGGCGCGCGGCTCGCGGACGCGCGGCGCGGCGCCGCGCCGCGCGACGGCGCGTTCGAGGCCTTTTTCGCCGCGCTCGAAACCTACGTCGCGCTCGAGGGCGACGCGGACGTGCCCCAGAAGTTCGTCGTCCCGGACAGCGGCGGGCCCTGGCCGCCCGCGGCGCGCGGGCTCCGCCTCGGCGCGCGCGTCGCCGCCGTGCGGTCCAAGGGCACCTACGTCGGCGGGCGCCGCGGCGCCGGCGACGTCGCGGGCTTGTCGCCCGCGGCGCGCGCGCGGCGGGCGCGGCTCGACGACCTCGGCTTCCTCTGGGTCAAGCGCGGCGCGGCGCGGCCGCGGGCCCGGCCCGCGCCGCCCGAAACCGCGCGCCCGTAGCGCCCGCGTCGACTTAGCCTAGCGCCGGCTCGGGCCGCGCCACTCGTGGATGGGGACGCGCTCGAGCCGCGACGCGGAGCCGAAGAACTCGCGGTGGATCTCGTGGAAGACGTGGTTGCAGCGGCTGTACGTGTTGTGGTGGCGGTCGTCCCAGGGCACGGCGCGCCCGGCGCCGTCGGTCATGGTCCCGTGCGTCGGCGCCTGGCGTGCGACGCTCCCGACTCTGAAAGCCCCCGCGCGTCGGCTCGTGTCCGGACGAGCGATCGTCTCTCGGAGCGCGGAGCGAGCGCGGCGCGGAACCCGCGGAACCACCCGGCGTCGGCCCCGCGGCCGCGCCGCGCGCGTCCGGTCGAGCGTCGCGTGGCACGGGTCGCCGCCTGCGCCGCACGCGCATCTTCGACGCGACTTCGGGCGTCGTCGACCGTCTCGACGCGAGCGCTCGCGCCGTCCGTCGAGACCTCGCCGGGAGGCTGTCCGAACATCAGCCCGAAGCGACTTCGACGCTCGAGGATTCGAGTTCGGTCGGGACGTCCCGGACCGGCGGCCGATGCCCACGCGGGTCGCCGCGGAGGAGGTCGAGCTGCGTCTTCATGGGCCGGGGGTCCTCGGACATGAGGCCGTAGGTCGAGAGGCGCTCGAACTTGCCCTGGACCTTGCCTGCGTGCGGGGCGCGCGGCCGTCGCTCGACGCGCGCGGCGCGCGGCGCCGCGCGCCCCTCGAAGAACCGTCGGACCGGCCGTCGCGGCGCCGGGGTGCGCGCCGAGCCTCCGGGGCATCTCCGCGGCGGCGGTGCGCGGCCGCCGGAAGTACTCGCGGAGCGGCCGCGGGTAGTGGCTGTTGAAGCGGCCGAAGTTGCTCGCCGAGGGGTCGAAGGGGTCCGGCGGCAGGGGCGCCGCGACCCGCGTCCCGCGGCGCAGCGTCGCGGCCGCGGACCTCGCCGCCTCGGCGGTGCGGGGCCGCCGCTTCGCCAGCGACGCCTTGGAGGCGAGGGACCGCGAGCCGACGGACCGCAGGGACGCGCTCCGCGGGGGCGCCCGGGCCTTGGTCGCGAAGGGCAGCGGCCCGGACGCGATGGCCTCGAAGCTGGGGGCGGCCATCGCACGGAGAGCCCCGCGCTAGAGGGCGTATCTTCGTCGTTGCCGTCGTGCCGCGGGGCAGCTCGTCGTTTGCGCGCTTCGGCTGTTTCCCAGGTGGCGCACGGTTGACGCGGTCATGGCGCGCCTCGCGCGGTTCCGCCTCGCGGCGGCCCTCGCGGCGGCCCTCGCGGCGGCCCTCGCCGGCGCCCAGACCCCGACCTACGCGCCGTCGCGGAGCCCCGCGCCGACGCCGGAGCCCTCGCGGAGCTTCGCGCCGACGCGGAGCTTCGCCCCGACGCGGAGCCCCGCGCCGACGGCCGCGCCGAACGTCGCGCCGACGCCCGAGCCCCGGGGGAAGCGCGGCGGCTCGAAGGAGTGGTACGAGCGCTGGTGGAACGCGCTCCGGCCCTCGAGCCACCTCGGCCGCCGCGACACGATCATCGCCTGGGGCCTCATCTACGCGTGCTGCAGCTTCTGCTTCGTCCTGTCCCTGGGGACCTGGGGCGTGCGCACGTACCGCGCGCCGGAGGACCCGGCGCCGCCGCGCGACGACGCGGCCTACGAGACCGACGACGACGACGACGACTACCGCCGGCGCAAGGAGGAGCGGCGGAAGCGGCGCGAGGCGCGCCGCGCGAAGCGCGACGCCGAGGCCGCCGCGGCCGACGCCGGCGCCGCCGAGGAGACCAAGGAGGGCGACGCGGCGGACGTCGAGGCGCCGCCGGAGCCCGAGCCCGAGCCGGAGCCGCCGGCGGACGACGGCGCGTCGTCGCCGGAGAAGAAGAAGAAGAAGAAGAAGAAGGCGCGCGACGACGCGGAGGAGACGCCCGCGGAGGAGACGGAGCCGGAGACGGAGGGCGCGCGCGAGCTCCGGCGGCTCCAGAAGGAGGAGCGGCGCCGCCGCCGCCGCGAGGCCGAGGCGCGCGCGCGCGACGAGGCCGACGCCGCGGCCCGGGCGGCGACGTGCGGCGCGCGGTGCGCGGCCTGCGGCGCGCGGGCCGCGGCGGGCTTCCGGGCCTTCGGCGCGGCGCTCCGGCGCGTCGGCCACCGCTTCTGCGAGGTCTCGGGGGCCATCTGCTACGCGGCCGCGGGCTGCTGGCTCGGCGCGCTCGGCGTCTGCTGCTGTGCGGAAACCAACCACTGGTTTGGGGGGTCCTGACCAAACTTGAGAATTCTCTATCTCGGTCAAATCAAAGTCGATTCGGCTGATTTTTGGACGGATCGATCGCTCTCGTCGAGTTCTCGAAGCCCAGTGAAGAGCTTGGTCAAATCGTTCGAATACGCGCACATTGAAGTCGGGTTGAAGATTTGATTTCCACACAGGTCTGCTGCGCGCGCTGCGCGGCCTTCTTCCTCGGCAAGGAGTACGACCCGGCGGCGCGGCCCGCGCCGCCGGGCGACGGCGACCTCCGCGTCGAGGGGCGGCGGCTCTACCCGCGCACGGAGGCCTTCGACCGCGCGGAGCGGGGCCTCCGCGCCGCGGACGACGACGACGGCGACGACGGCGACGACGGCGGCGACCGCGCCGCGCGCGACGACCGCCGCCGCCGCCGCCGCCGCGCGCGGGACCGGCGCCGGGACCGGCGCCGGCTCCGCGACGACGACGACGACGACGACGACGACGACTACTGGGCCCGGCGGCTCCCGCCCGCCGCCGCCGAGCCGCGGCGCGCGCGGCCGCGCCTCGAGCCGCTCGACGCGCCGACGGACGACCAGCGGCGCATGGCGAACCACCTCGCGCTCCAGGGCCACCGCGTCGAGCTCCGGGGCCCCGAGGGCTCGCCGCGGCGGCTCCGCGACGCGGACCGCCACGGCGGCTCGCGCGGCTCGCGCGACTTCCGCGGCGACCGCGGCCGCGGCGACCAGGCGCTCTTCGCGCCGCCGCCGCCGCTGCTCCGCCGCGACGACGACTCGCGCGAGCCGCCGCGGCCGCCGCGCGCGCCGTCGCCCGCGCGGGCCCGGAGCCCCGGCCGCTACTACGGCCGCGACCGCGGCCGCGACGACGGCCGCCTCTTCGCGACGGAGCCCTTCCGGCCCCAGCCCCCGGCGGCCGACGAGGCCGGCTTCCCGGACACGCCGCCGCGCTTCTTCCGCGACTACCGCCGCCGCGACTT